ACAACACTCACACGTGGAGTTATCCACGAGGCAGTGGTGTAAACGAAGGGGTCTAGGTCTAGCTGAACGTCTCAGCCAAACAGCATCCAATCACAGACAAAAACAGTGGGTGATACATATGTAATATATAGGTGGGTGATATGTAGTAAGAATTGACACAAATAATAATCTAAAAGTAAATTTTAAAGATTAAAGTCCCATTAGTTGTCACACTGGTGTGTAAAATTTGTTCTCTGTATTTCACCCATGCTCTGGGGGAATGGCGAGCTGCAGACACAGATGCATTCGGGAATTATGTGGTTTCTTCAGCATGAACACCCCACACATTATATTTTAACAAATTAATAAAGGATTTTCACAAGGGGCATCTGTGGCATACTCCTGCTTCACCTTCAACAGCTCATAAAAATGATCAGGAAATGTATTTATACATTCAAGATGATTTAAGCCTCGCACGTACAGGAGCAGCACAGCAACTAAAAAATTCAAGATGTAAAACATCAACCTCCAATCCATCCTGCAATAGGGATGTACATAGTTAACCGGTTAACTACCACTAATGCCGTAACCCAGTCAAATATTCTTGTCCAGCTCTAAGCATAAGCATTTGTGTTATTTATAGAGCAAAAGCAAGGGTTTGCGCATGCATGTGTGTGTGTGTGTGGGGGGGGGGGGGGGGGGGTGGACGAGTTTACAGTTTACCAACTAAGGGCTTAGAACCGGTTAAACAAAATTTGAAAAACATGTATTCTATCCTGCATATTTGACATGTTTCCCTGCTTCAACACAGCTGATTGGCTTTAACCCATGTAACACGTCCTCCAGCTCAATAAGCCGGTTCACCTACCAAATTTAAATAAGGTGTGTCGAAAAAAACAAAGACCTAGAGCGTGCCGAGCGGTGGACTGGACACCAAAGGCTTAAACACAGAGTAGGGATGTGGCTTTTGTCGTAGTGCCGTTTCACTTCATACACCATGTGCGCCATCCGACTGGTTAAACATCCACCTTTCTCAAACTGTAACCTCGGATTCCCAATTACAGGCCAGATATGACCCAGGGGAAACTGTATAATTCCTTCCTAAAGCCTTTTTTTTACTACAAACACAAACCACACACCTAAAGATTACAAGACTCAAACGATGACTAAGGTCACCAAAGTTCTTTCAATTTAGGCAAGTCACACCGCATCTACCCTTTGTCCCAATAGGAATGACTTGACAGAAAAATCTAGTCTGACAGCTCTGCATGCACAAACACACCTACACATTGTGATGCTGTCTTGAGGAGGACTTAGATTTCTGAGAACGAACAAAACAACAGCAGATGAACCAGTTTTCATTAGGAAGAGGATAATCCTCCACCTCTAAATTGTTCTGATGAGAATAACATTTTATTTACAGCCGCTACTGTGGCTTTGAGAAGGCGCCAACACACTCAACCACACTTTGTTTCAAAACAAAAAAGGTTTACATCAAATAGCCGTGGATAAAGAAAGCTCTACGACCTATTTTTGAGCAATTATTGTTCCATCTTAGTACTTAAAATTAATCCAGTCCACAATGATAAATTCATAAAATACCCTTAATCACATTTAGCAGCAACAACTTATGCAATTATTGTTGATATGAGCTCTTTAGAGAGGACATTGGTGCAGTTTAACATGATCATGCCTCAGGTGAATGAGGTTTGTGGTTATTTATGTGTGCAGAGCTCTACTAGGGCCCTGTCCACACGTAGCCGGGGATCTGCCAAAGCGTAGATATTTTTCTACGTTTTGGCCTGTCATCCACACGAAAACGGATCTTTTTAAAAACTCCGGCCAAAGTGAAGATCTGCGTTTTCTCCGTTTTGGGTGTCTGCGTGTGGACAGACAAAACCGAAGTTTTAAGGTCCGCAACGTCACTTTCCGCGACAAAAAATGCTGACATCACGTGTGCGACCTGTGTTTACACTAGCCGACATCATGGAAGCCCTCAGAGCTGTGCTCTGTCACTACCCGATCCATCAACCGTCCAAGCGCTTTTTGCTTGTTTGTTTTTGCAAGCAGAATTCCTGCTCCTTGCGGAAGACCACAGACGAAGGACGAGGTTAAGAACGGGGGAAGTGCTGCCGCCTACAGGTCTGGCATGTCCTTAACAACGTATTTATCCGGGTACGTGTGGACAGTTTGTTTTTAAAACGCGGTGGTGTGGATGCAAGTTTTTGGAGGGGTGGATATTCGTTTTCAAAAAACCCCGGCTACGTGTGGACTAGGCCTAGGTCTCAACCAAGGATGGGGTCTGAACTTTAGAACATCAGCTTCTGTGACCGAGTCCAAATCCAGGAGCTGCATAGATCAGAGTTTACATTTCATGGTTGATTAGGTCAAAGCTAAGTGACAAGGCCGTCCAAATTCAAAGACACTCAAAATACGTCCTCCTTTTGCCCAAATATCAAGGACTGGTCTGGTGTATCCTCATTGGCAAAGGCTGTCCCAGGTTTCACTGTGGGCCGCAAGGAAGATTTTCGTTCTAATAAATGTTATAAAGATGGACAAAGCAAGAGAGAATAACAGTTTTTAATGTTAGTACAAAATTTTCTGGTGGTACAAAACTGTTGTGTTGCTAGGCTTTTTTGTTTGCTCGTTTGTTTGTTTATTTAAATATAATTTTGTCTCTAATAATAATAATAATAATACATTTCCTAAACAATCTTGTAGGTCGGGTCCCATAGTTCTTCTAGTATTGCTTCTAAGTTTATAACTTCTGTTTAGATCAGTCATGGTTGCTAAGCAACAGAGTATACACTGAGGTGGGAATACATATAAAGGTTAGACTGTCCAAATTCACAGCCTCACTCCAAGGATGTTCCTCAATGTCAAAGTACGCTAGTACGTTCTTGAGTACTTGACAAGTACATGGTAAGGTTAAAAAATGACCTGAAATCAAAATAGGTCTCGTTTGTCACTAAAATCGCAATGAATACATTTTATTCTATCATGAAGAGTCAGAGCAAAAAATAACACACAGCAGATTGTACCGGTTACACACAATTACCTACAATAACAGACAACTTCAAATTTACTTATTTCAACTTAATTATTTGTATTTTGATCTAAAAACACTACAGTGGTGAGCCTTCTTCTATATGGGGTATAGCAGTTTGCAACACAATGTTTCTTTTCTTTCTTCTTTGTTTTTTACTATTTTGATCCACTTGGGGGAATCTCTCTTCCTTTGATCCATCCTTAACACTAGTAGGGAGCAGTGGGCTGCAATCTGCATAATGTCCAGGCGGCAATTTGGGGATTCAGGATCTTGCCCAAGGGTTAGTGTTGGGCATCGATTGGAACTGGGATGATTTGTCAGTTTTCCCCCAAATTGTTCAAATTTTTTTATCTCGGTTCCTAGTTTTGATTCCCAGTCAGCCGACCGGATGAAGCTGGCAAATACCAATGAAAAATTCACCGGAAGTGTTTGCGCTATTGTGAAATCAAATGTGCGGACTGCAGAGGTGTTCCAAAGTGTGGCTTTATCACTCATCCTTTGAAGGCATCAAAATGAGTCAACATGGTCGATTTAATATGAGTTTTAAAGGTCAAACTATGGGTGGAGTGAGAAGAGTTTTCAAGTCTCACTGCAGAAATAAAAACACTGAGCAGCAACAGTCAGAAACAGCTACACTCATTAACATTTGTATGAGCATGACCATCAGAAAACTGAGCAAATAACTGGTAAAAGAATTAAAATCATGCTGCCGATGAGCAGCCCTCATCGGTGGTGGACAACCACCGGGTTCTGCCCACTAGAAGACGCTGTGGGTAATAAATTAATCTACAAATAAATCAATGAAATCTCAAAACATGCAAAGTTATGAGATTATTTTTTGCTTTTTTTAAATCAGTTGAGTTTTTTGAAACCGAATCTTTCAAATTCAAACGATGCCCAACCTTGCCAAGGATGCTTCGGCACATGCATCTGCCAGGACTGGGATTGATCCTATGACCCCCAGATCAGAGAATACCCGTTCTTCCCATTCAGTCATGGTAATGGGATACTTTGCTGCCCCAAGAATGTGCTGATGCATCCTGGATACAATGGGCACAGCAAGAACACATCTGGGCACTTTGAGAATACTTGTCATGCTATGTACTTAGGACTGAAACAGTACTTGGGCCACCGTTGATGACATTTCGAAAGTACGCAAGTTCAGACAAGTGAGAAACGACCCGCGTCTTAGCGATCAAGAAAGGACCCAACCTACATGGACCAGGTAGGCGTGGTCCTTACAAGGATGGTGCCCCTGAATTTGGCAGTCGCTTCCACCACCGTGCCAACAGCTTGTAGGAGGGATGTGTGCTGAAAACCCGTGTTTTATTTGAATCAGACGTTCCAATTTAGGTCTCATCTGCTTAAGGGAAATAGTTCCAGAATTCTTGAGATTCCTTTAGGGGCTTATTTACAGACCCACGACTGAGATTATAATCTCGATTAATATGGTGCAGCATGTCTCTAATGGGTCAACTTTCATGGTCCATGCTCCTGGAAGTGATGCATCATTAAACTCATTAGCATCATGAAGTCCTGGTGAGGCTAATTTTCTATACCTGGTATGTTTAAATAGACCAGCTACTGGCAAATATATAAGCATCAGTGGGAAACAAAACACAGCTTTCCCACAAACTGGAAAATAATAATGCATGGAACTAACATTTGTGTGTTTTGCCTTGCTTCTCTTAATTTGTGCTGTTGAGGAAGATTTGCTGACATAATTCCTACTTGCCACTTTTAACACACACCTGCATGCTCCAGACCAGCACACACCAACCTTTGACAACAGCTTCTAGTTGATTAAATGCATCTGATTGGAAACACCTCGCTGCTATTTACCATTTTAGACTTCTGGCAACATTGATTGCAACTAGTTTACTTGGTATGTTACTCATTTGCAACAGCTGAAAGCTGAAAGTTTTGGTCTGCACAAAAAAAAACACTTAGGTGCAGGCATGTGTCTACTTACAATGTAGGGGTTGAACAAAGGGCTCCGGGAGTTGTTTTCCAGCATACTTTTCAGCATTGCAACACTCTAAACAGATAAAGCACATGCATTCACAACAAAGCAACCTCCACAAAGGTGCGCTCATTAACGGCTCCTCTTAGCAGTAGCTTATAATTAGTGAGAATGTCAGAGAGAATGTCAGAGAAAGTGTGTGTGTGTGTGTGTGTGTGTGTGGGGGGGGGGGGGGGGTCTTAAGAAAGAATTCTGAAATGCTGCTAGGGTTGGTAAATTCACATTGTTTAAAAGACTCTACACGTCTAAATGACAATCTTATTTTGAAAGGAGTATAATTATTGGTTATTTCCGGGCCCATTTGTACAATTTTAACACAAAAACATATTTTTAAAATCACTCACAGCTCGCTTCTCCTTCACAGAGTCTCCTCCACGTTCGTCTTCCTCCACACCATCTCCCTAAATTACAATATTTAAATTTTAAATCACCTTTAAAATGTCTTCTCAGCAAACACAGAAACAAATAGCTTAACCACTTCGTTGCCACCTGTCTCCTCTCGTGTGAGTATAACTCACCACAGCAGCTTCTCCTCTCATGTTCCCGCCGAAGATTGAATCAAAAACTTTTAGAGTTAGAACAGAACTTATTTTTTTTACCCAAGTAGAAGTAATGGAGCTGACACGTAAGGTGCGCGAGACGGTCTTCTCTTGACAGCTGGACGCACGTGCATCAAGTTCAATTGTTTAATGCCGACACATCCTCTGACAAGACTTTCAAAATAAAACTAGTCTCAACTTCACTTCTACCAGAAGAATGCTCTGCTACTTAGCCATGGATATAAACGTTTGTATAGAAAGGTATAAAATATGAAAACATACAGTAATATTAAAATGAGAAACACGCACCTCAAATTATGCTTTAAAATCATGCATGGTTCTGATTTTTACATGTTTAATTTGAAAGGAGAATAGTTCATATCCGGTTTTCAGTTATTGACACAGGCTGACTTAACTGACCGGCTGATGCCATCTGAATGCGGGCAGACCGGTCAGCCTCGCCCGCTGAACCGGGCGGAGTGGTCCAGGTGTGTTACTGTCACCGTCACAGCTGACAGGTGATGGAAGCTGCTTTACTTGTTCTATAACAGGGAAACAGTCCATCATGTGGACTACTATCAACTCAAAACACACACGCCTCAGTAACAGGTGATAAAGATGAACTCCCTGGTTCCTGATTTAATGAGATTATAAATCTTCCTGCCATTTATCCAACAGTTTGGGAGATTTACCCTCCCTCTCTGGTCATAGAAATCCAAACTCTGACTGAACCTTCTGGGGAAACTAGCTAATTCACTAGAAGACAGATGATCTTATTTATCCAGACATCTTTGTTTTACTGCTTGAAAAGTGCAGGTGGCATGAAGACGGCATTGTTTTTTATCCTTTAGCACTCAAGAAAAAAAATTAACTCAGTGGTTCATCATGCTCCACACAGAAGACAAGCACACTATCAGCTGTTTATTGAGATTACAGCTTAAAAGGGTAGACATTCCTGTGACAAGGAGGAGGATGACATTTCCTCTGAATCCCAGGCTGAGGCCACTGGATGGAGACACATCAAATGAAATATGAGAGAAGTCAAACCAAACAAATAGAAGCTCAGATGAGTGTTTGGTCTTCACCTGAGCAGCGAACTGAGCTTGATACTCAGTGAGCGGTGGTTTCCACCGCAGGCTCCTCTGCTGTGGATGATCTACCGGCTGGGTGGTGCTCTGATAACTGGGCAGAGGGACAACTGGCTCATCTTCCCGTTCACAGCTGGGAACAAGAGAGGACGTGTCAGTGTTGGAGTTGATTAAAAGTCCGGTCTGTGTAGGACTTACAAAATGCACTGGCCATAACAGGACTGCTGGTTGGTTCTGCTCTTCAGTTGAAGAACTGGATCCAAGCCCCACAAGGACCTCTTCCAGTCATCAGCATCTGATCAGAGGTGGGAGGTTAAAGGTCACCAACAAAAAACGGATCAGCAGAATTTAATTTAGCTAAATTCCATCTTTTATTACTCTTCGTTTTGAGGCGCGTCTTTTAAATGTCGAGATTGTTTACCAATGTTTGGACTTTGTGTGAATATGGATCGTGGGACTGGGAGGCTGAGATGGTTGGACTCTTGGTGGAGACATTTTAGGTCATCACAGGCATAGGTGGTGGATCGGGGGTTCGGTGGTGGCTTTGTTTCAGCTGCAGAGAAGATCTTCCTGTCATTGTCACAGATGCAGCAGTGCTGATCCCCATCAAAGGAAAGTCCGGTCACCCTGACAGCTCCGTCACTCAGGGTGGAACCAACCCTCCCTACTGGACAACCGATGGAAGGGGTAAAGTTGCAGAATGTGGATGACAAGGAGAAGGAACCAGGGGGATTCTGGGAAACAGAGTACAAAGCATGAGGGCTGTGATGATGAACAGGATGGATTTTACTGAACAATGTTTCACCTGTGCGCCGACCGCTGAGCCGTAGGTGTGGATGTTTCTGGGTGGAGCCTAAAAAAGCAACACGAACCATGTAGAAGAAATATCTGACACTGAAATGATCTGTTTATCGTCTAACTCACTCTGGGTGCAGCAGGCTGAGTTCTGATCTTCTTCCATGCATGGGGTCCAAAGTCCTTGTTGTAGGTGGTGGTGAATCTGTCTGAGTTCACCTCATCAAACTGAGAAGAAATGGTCTTAATAGTTTAAAAGGACAAATATCACAGCTTAGCACATCTTTTTCAATCTCAGACAGATCTGTTAAGACAACATCATAGAAAAAGCCAAACAAATCTCCAGATCTATGTGTGTTGCCATGGCAACAAAACTAATAACCACATCTACTTAAATGTTATTAAAAATAATGGAAAAGTATGTCACTTTTTATAAATCTAAATGTAGTTTGGTGCTACAGTCTCACAAAAAAGTAACAGTATTGGGTTTTATGTTGTCATTAACTCCTTCCCTCTTTCCTGTTCACTCTCTCTCTTTCTTAACATTTTTTTAATCACAATTGTCTATTTTTTGTTCATTTAAAATATATTTTTAACCATTTTCAATTTTTTTAAATATTTTTACATTTTTTGTTTTTGTGAAGCGCCTCGTGATTTTTATCTTGAGAGGCGCTAAAGAAATGATATTTTCTTCTTCACTGCCAGTGACGACTAAAGTCGTCATTTGCATTTTTTTTACTGTTTGGGCATCAGAACGAGCCCCCGTGCCGAGAGAACAAACACCTCAGCTCTGAAGCCAATCTTCATCCGCATACATCGCACGTCACATGATCAGAAACAGAAAATCCATGTGTTAGGAGATCGTTTTGGGCCGTTCCTGTAAAAAAAAGTGAGCCGCGAACGGAAAAGTGTCTGCCAATCACAATTCGACAACAGATTATGAAAGAACGGATAACGCTCGAAACACACGGATTCTTCCTAATGTAAGATGTGAGTCTCCTCTTTGTTTCGGTTGTTTTGGCGTCGATATCATCCTAGCGCACAACGTTCTGTCACTCTTAAAAAAACAGTAAAAACAGTAGAAACGCTGGCAGTGAAAGCCTTTAGCAATCAGGAAACGGCTGGCAGTGAGTGAGTTAAAGAGCAAGTCACCCCAAATAAACTTTTTTCTGATAAACTATACAAATGTGTGTCTAATCATGCTGCAGACACATGTAGTCAATAGTTTAGCACTTTAGTGGATTTTAGTTAAATTTTTTATTTTCTGCCTAAAACTGTCAGTGTTGTGCTGTTGTCAGGTAAAAACTCTGCACAGCATTTGAATTAAAATCTGCCATCGCTACTGGCTAAGAGGTACCCTAGAACGTTAGCCAGTACCATATGATGCCACAATGTCGTTGTGAGCCTGTGTGTGTGTGGTTATTTGCAAGTGGCTCCGCCCTCTCAGTCTGCTAGGCAACAGCATTTGTTGCATTTTTCTAACAGGAAGTGGGAGTTGAGTAAAAATCTGGCAGGGGTGACTTGCTCTTTAAACTTTAAAGACTTGACTTGCTCTTTAAACTTTAAACTTTAAAGAGCAAGTCACTTCAAATCAACATTTTTTTGCCAATAAAGTATATAAATGAGTGTCTGATCGTGCTGTAGACAAATGTAGTCAATAATTCGGCACTTTAGTGCATCTTAGTTAAAATTTAAATATTCTGCCTAAAACGGTCAGCGATGCACCATCGTCAGGTAAAAACTCAGCACTGCGTTTGAATTTAAATCTGCCATCGCTATTGGCTAAGAGGTACACTATGATGTTAGATGGTAGATTATGATGTCACAATGTTGTGAGTGTGTGTGTTTGTTAGCGGCTCCGCCCTCAGTCTGCTAGGCAACAGCATTTGTTGCGTTTTTCAAACAGGAAGTGGGAGTTGAGTAAGACTGGTAGGGGGTGACTTGCTCTTTAACTGTCTTGAGCTCGACAATAATAAATAAAAATACTACACATCACCCTTTGGGGGATTATCTTAGATCTAAATAAAAATGTTATGGCTTTAAATATAATTGTAAAAATAATGAAAGTTAAATTATTTGTACTGTGAGGTTAGATTAGCCAATGGGCTACCCTTTCAGATAGCAACATTAACCACTTATTGATAGAAAACATCACAATACAGTTAGAAAGGTGCTAAAAGCTAATTATATTGTTTAAACCCATGGGTGTCACCAAAATGTCTTTATACTGTATTTAGTTAAGAGTTTTTTGGGCAAACGTCCTTTCTAATCTAAATGTTCAAGTTTAGCGTCTTTTAGACGTTTCTGTCGCCCCCAAACGGCCAAGCCTGATCACTGCACGGTTATCAAAGACAATTTTACACGTTTTCTTCTGTAAATGCAGCAAATCCAGCCATATTTAACTCATATTACTTAATTTAATGGAAAACAATATATTTACCATTAGAAGAGCTGACAGATACATGATGTTTTTACTCCTCCTTGCCAAAGTCACTTCACCATTCAAGCATGTCTCCATGGTTACAAACTGTGAGGTTTTTGTTTAGTTTGACTTGGCTCTCTAAATTGGTGTTGACAGGTTGGTCGTAAACATGAAGAAAATTTTTTTTTTCATTCTTACAAGTATTTAGTGGGTTTTATCCATTTTACTAGCCTGGCAAGCCAGACTAAATAATATATTTGCAAAGCATGTTTGGTCTAGATCACTAGGCTACTATTTTACACCATCTTGTGTACAAATAAATACCCTAAATCTCATCTCAGAAGATCAAATGATTGTTTTACTCTTTTTTTGTAATAACTAAAATAATTGCAAATATGGTAATAAACAGCACTAATCATTATTATGAGTAAGAATACCACAATTAATGGAAATGAAACATTATTTTAATAAAATCTCTCTTAAATTGCGGTGCTTGTTGAGTTTTACTGTCATCCATCACCCTCTAAAATGTCTTACTCCAGTGGATCATTTCCCCTCCTTGTCCTTAACACATCCCAGATGTTTACTGGTTAAAGATTTTTAACAAAACACAAAATTTCTGCAAATCACCAGTATTTTTATTGTAAATCACCAGTTTAAATGACCAATAGTGTATAAAATTTTGAACAGTAAACTTCAGGTCCCACCAGTTCTTGTTAAAGAAGCTGCCAAGATAAAACAATCTTTAAAAAAGAAACCTGGGATCAAATCACGTGCAAAATCATTCCTGATTGAAAGAGTTATGAGCTCCAGTAATTCTAAAGTGGCCTGGTGCTTTAGTCACTATCCGCTGTTGAAGGTGTGCTGATAGAAGACATCAGCGTTGGTGGAGTAATCCATACGGATGGAGGAACCTAAACTCTGAGCCCCGAGGCTAGCTCCGCCCAAAGCAGAGGACTGCCGTAAAATCAGGAGGCTGTAGCCATGGAAACGGTCATTCAACTTGTCTGATGATGCAGCTTTTTCCAGAACCTCTGTGAACCCTGCAGAGACACATAAAACATGCAAATGAGACTTCAACCGGAGGGTTTCATGGACCGTTATTACGATCAGCGACACAGACCCAGCTTCAGGAGAGACCAGCTCTTCCACACGGAGCCCACACACAGGACTGGCAGGCCGCGCTCACACCTTAATAACGCCTTAAACAACAAAACAGAAGAGAAATGCTCCAGTTTCATAAATGCAAAAGTGAAACCAGAAGGCTTGTAGGTGTGCTTGGTTACCGGTTGAGCTGCAGGTAAAACTGCTTCTACGTGTTTAGCCAGAACTCTGCCAGCCTGAGCGAACACATGCTGGCAGAGAGCATCCCCAGCCTCAGCACCTGGGACACAAAACACTCAGGATGACACTCTATTGTCCCAGAAACCTAAGCAGAAGTCCCGCTGCTGCTCACCTTCAGCCAGCTTCTTACAGAAACCAGCAAAGTGGGACTTCTGGAAGTTCCTGTAGAGGTGTGGAAGCATTCCCATCAGATCCGACACCTGGGAGTAATGTTTTAATTATTCTGGGTTTATAAGAACAGATTTGTCTTTGTGCTGCTGCTGTCTGACCTGGAAGTACTCATCCATGGCTTCTCTAACCCATGTGATGTCATAAGGAGGCGCCACCAGGTTGTCTTGAGCGTCAAACACAGTCTTCACGGCCAAATGAGCGATCCAGAAAGCTGAAGAAGAGATCCGATTAAGGTCACCGTGGTAACCACTGTGCTACACTGTATCTGACAACCTGACAGGCTTTGACACTATTTACATCCAGCTGATCACCATGGTTACCTGAGCCTTCATCGCCCATCATGTGACCCCAGCCCCCACAGCCGAGCTGAGAGCCATCAGGATTGACCAACTTGCAGTTAGATCCGGTCCCTGATATGAGGACGACGCCTCCTGAAGAGAAAAGTCACATAAAGGTGATAAAGTTGATCCTCTGAGCCATAAAGAAGAGGAAAGCACATAAATGGGGAAAAGGCCTGGGTGGAGACACACCTGGGAGGGTAAAGTACTAAATGTCAGCATGACAAGGCACCACACTTATCCTCCGAAGGAAATCCTGATCGGGATATTTAAAATACACAGGATAAAAAAAGTAAAACACATGGATGTGTTGGCTCCTCTGATTCTTTTGGGTTTAATTCGGTTAACCGGCCAAATTCGGCTTTATTTAGATTAAAAAAAAAATAAAAACAAAAAATTGGAGCTGAATTTGCAAAGCTAGTGAATAAAAATAAGCCGATGTTGATTTTTTTTCTGTCTAACACTTTTATGATCAGGTTATTAAAAACATGTCTACTTTAATCAGTACAAATAAAAAAATAAATCACATTTCTTGGTCCAAATGGACTATTAAGGTGATGGTTTTGGGTCTTTTGTGTAAAGTTTGGACACTCCTGATATACAACATACAGTCTTGCACATTTCCTGTCTTTATTATGAAGGAAAATGTTTGTAATGTACCTTTATTAAAGTCCCAGTCTGGTTGTCATTAATTTCCAAAGTTGTCCCACATGACTCACAAAAACTAAACCGAGGTGCGTTCCGGACGCCAGAAACACCTCTGGTTACTTAAAAAAGAAATTTGTTGCAGGGACTTTAAAACTTGTTGGTTTCCCACCGGTCTGAGGCCGTTGGTGACGAGTAGTGAGTTTCCAAAATGTCTCAAAACAGTTTTCTTTAGTCGTACCAGGAGTCTAACTTTAGGAAGAGTTGGTGAATGAATCAGGAGACTAAATTACTGAAATGCTGGGGAAATATACAACCTTTATGTGACATGTCCTTCTATGAAACATGTTACAAAAATGTTCTGATGTATCGCGATTTTAGCAGAAGATTTTCACATCTTCATGATTGTTTCGGTTTGAAGGCTGAAGTGGAACCGCTGATTTCTTTAGTGTTTGGATAAAGAAAACAAACCAGCACCAGGTTAATTCTGATGATGAAATCTTCATATGTCTCTGACGGAAACAGAAACATTACCACGATCGCTGGCCGTTGCCATGGCACCAATGGCGTCGGTGGTGATGAAGTAGTGCTGGCTGAGACTGGGGTAACGTTCCTTCATAACAGTGATCAGGTTGTCGATGGCATCTTTCTGCTCACCTCCGCTCAGAGACATTCCCTTCACACAGACACTACACATTTAGACCTGATTGTGGATTTTACCAGGTGAGGATCCATAGATCAGACTGACCAGTGTGCGTAGCGGAGTGTTTGGATCTAGTCCTGCCTTGATCTTGGCTTTCTGAACCATGTCGTTAATGGTTTCCAGACATTTGTCCACCCCGATCAGCTGCAAGAGATGAGATGTTGATGAGAGTCTGATTCCACCGCCCCACCCTGACTCTTATCTCCACTGACTCATCCTGCCTCCATCACCACCACCTGTCCTGCTCACCCAGTGGTTGGTGCAGGCTCCGGCTGACTCTGCCAGGACCTTCCCGTCTCCAGACAGCAACACGGCTTTAGAGTGGGTCCCGCCACTGGGTCAAAACACACACAGACACGTGTAACAGGAAGAAAGTGGCACGTTTCTTATGAACACATTAACTATATAACGTTTACATACATACTAATGCTTATTTTAGATCAGTTTTAGGGCTATAGCAAAACAGTCACGAGATAAATGCCGCTTCCGTGTCGACAAAACTCCCCCAAATTATTTAAATTTTACATGACAACCCTCAAATTCTGACTAAATAGAGGGAAAATACCCCAAAGTGCAACTTGTTACCATAGAAGTGTAAAAATAACCAGTTTTGCTGTCTATTTTAACTTTTTCTTACCCCTCTATTCCACCGAACACGTCTGCCATCGTCTTCCTGTTTGGTCCCGGTTACAGCTCACGTCTCGCGATACCTACAACTTCCTTGATATGTAATGAGCCCAAACTACCAGTAGATGGCAGCAATGTGATAGCTGTAGGTAATAGCGTTAGGTGTACTGGGTTGAATTCAAATAAGGTTTCTTAATAAAATAAACTACCCAAGACTTTTACGAAGGTACATGTTTAGCAATGAAAATAAAAATACATCTAAAATGTGACTTAAAATTACTGGTAATGCAAACCACATAAAGTTGTTGCTTATAAAAAAATATAAAATCACATTATTATACAATCCTGTTTTAATGTGTTTTATATATATAAATACATACCAAACCTTTAAAAGAGGAAGTTGTTGAGATACATCAATTTTTTTAAATTGAATTTAAACTTGGGCACTGACCTACTTCATTTAATTTACTTGTTATTTGTTCTTTTTAATGAAGCTTAAAAAATTAGTGGTATGAAAATATGAATACTTTCTGAACCCATGAGAGGACACAGGTCTCTTTTCTTTTTTTTTACTCATAGTAAAAAAATAATCATACATTTTCAGTGTCAAAATAATGTCAACTGAGATTTAATAGCAGAGTTTCACCGAGAGCCAACAGGAACTGGATGCATCTGCAACACATTACTTTTTGCTGGGCAGCTTTACTTGCCAATATAGACTGTGAAACTAAGAATTCCTGTAATTCCAAAACCAACTGCTTTGTGCACTAACAGTGATGGAGGTGACCTTATTCTGCGCAAACAACTATTACAAAATATTTAGATTGAATGTGATGCTCTGCTAAGTCTAGCCCCCCCCCCCCCCCCCCCCCCACACACACACACACACACACACATAACCGAGACTGTATATTTAATCCAGGAACAAATAAATAAAAGTGCATGAATTAGAAAAGCCATTTTGTTAACAGTTATATGAGAAAGTGGGGATGTCAGAGGGGAGATCAGGAAGAAGTTATATAAGAGTGAGGAGGTGGGTGGAGGGATGTAGAGGAGCGGCTCTGCCGCTGCTTCTCCTACAGGAACAGTGATGCATCAAGTTACACACAACTAACAGATTAACAGATATTTGCGGTTCTTTCAAAATAAAACGTCAGTAGTAATGCTTAAGACCACACATTCACCCTTTTCGCATCTTTTTTCATTTAATAACAGACATCTTTTTCTCTCTTAAAATTATGCCTAAATTGAATATAATTTATTTATTTATGAAATTTAGATGTCTAATGTATCAAATACCATTGTTCTAATGTAAAAAAATTAAGGAAATATGTGTATGGGTTTGCATTCCATCGCTTGAAAACCTATAACGGGCCTGAAAACAGGAATTTTCTTTTTTATTTGCCAAACTACAGCTTGCATTATCACGAATTTCGCCAAGAGCATTTCTGAGCAAAAACACAGCTGTGTTTTGTCAAACATTTTGAAAATGTCTGTGTATTTATGCAAAAACATGGTTCAGGGACACTGATCTCTTATGGTCAGTTTGCGTTATTATTAAAATTCTTTACACAGTCTGAATCCACTTTGTGGTCATTAGATTAACTTTATGGCAAAAACTGCTGGCATGAATCACTGTGAGAAACTCCTTTTACATACTAATAGTGGATCATCAATATTATTATATTTCATTTAAATATAAAAATACAATTTTGTCTGTTAGACTAGGTATTTTTCTCTTTGTTGTGAGCTTTCGCTATACTTTCTAACTCATTAATTCACTGGACCTTTATTTTGAAAGCGCCAAGCAGAAGTAGCCTGTTGCGCCCTCTGTTGTTGTCGGCTCCGGCTCCATCCTCTCAGGAGGAGTGAGAGGAGACAGACAAGCGACCGCCGACAACAGAACAGCGCTACTAACTAGTGTCGGAACCGCCCGGTGCCTGTCCGTACCTTTGAACTCACCCACCATGACGCTGTTAGCTGCGCGTTTAGCGAAAGGCATGTTATCGACCGAGGAGCGGAAGTGAGAAAGGGGGGGAACTTTTCAGGAGATTAAACCCATTAAAGAGGGTTTATTCGGACAAGTTTAAATAGTCTTGTTATTTATTTCTGGAAGACGGTGGGATTCAGAGTCTCGGACATGATGGACACGCACGTTAAGGAGGGACAACTTTATGTGCAGCACCTAAAGTTCGGAAAGGTAAGACTTGTTTTATTAGCTTGTTTATAAACCTGGCAGAATACTAGCTTTAAGTTTGGTTCATGAAAGAAATGTAGCAACACAAACTGTATTTTAGTTAAATATATTCATTTATTAATAAAGTGCGCATTACACTTACTACGTGTGCATAACTGTAGAGTTAGCATATATGTCAAATTAAATGTCAGAAAGTGATGCTAACTTCCTGTTCCCCATAATTATTACCCAGAAATGACCATTTAACACAACAGCGAGATGATACAGGTCACATGCTGTGAACCTGGCTTCACATTCCCTCAGCCTACAGAGAAAAAGAAGAAGTTATCACACAGCTGGGCTTGTTGTAGTGTGGTGGTTTGTAGTAATACGTCTGCAGAGATGACTAGAAAACAGATTGTGCAGAACCCCGATGAGAACTGGAGACAATTAAAGCAATTTTCTAACTTTGGGCATTACACTTTTTTTAAATGAATGTTTGCAACAAAAATCCATCTCTTAAAAGTGCAAAATGAAGAGTTTAAAGATAAACTCAAACGTGTTTCTGCCTCAAACACACATTTCTGCTCACTCATGCTTTGCTACTGCCTGTAAGTCACAACACAGTTCAACAATAACACGTGTGTGTGTGTGTGTGTGTGTGTGTGTGTGTGTGTGTGTGTGTGTGTGTGTGTGTGTGTGTGTGTGTGTGTGTGTGTGTGTGTGTGTCCCATCTACCTCACTAGCTATGGACTCAAGCTTTACGATTTCTAAAGAGGGTCTTTGTCCTGCTGTCTCTCTGGTCATATGACACGGACCGACAAAAACATGCTGCCCATGTTGTTTCCTGTTCCGAAATCACCACTTCACAATGCACATCTACACCCCAACAACACATTTCTGCGTGTTTTATGATGAATGTTTATTAGAAAACAAACAAGCAACGTTGACATCTTTGCAGACAGTAAAGGGGACAAATGCATGAGTGGTGGAGGAAAACAGAATAGGAAGCAGAATGTAGGCAGCTCCTAAAGCGCTGAAACTGATGTGAGACTTGTGGTGAATTATGCAATTGTGTGAACTGTCAGTGGACACACACACACACACACACACACACACACACACACACACACACACACACACACACACACACACACACACACACACACACACACACACACACACACACACACACACACACACACACACAGGGCCTAGTTCCCACGTGCCTGGTCGGAAAATGTGACAGAAGGATGCAGCGGTAACGTCCGACCAACTTTCTGTTTCAGACTGTTGACTGATGACGTGTGAGGCTGTGGTAGTCACCCCAGGTCAGGGTGTAAACTAACAGCTTATGTCCTACGTGGAGCTCTGTAACAGACTGTCAATCACTCAAACGAAGAACCAATTTTGGGCCATTTGAATGTGTTGATGTGTGTTTCTGTGCAAAAAGTTATAATTACTCACACCTGCTATAGTTTTCTGCAGACTTCTGCTTGTAGAAATAACTTTCACGTTGTCCAGGACCTGTGAGCCAAAACCAAAGTGTCATTTTAAACTTTACAGCAGATATATTAATGGTGTATTGTAAACCTTTACACTGTAGTCAGTTTTGGGATTATTTACATTTTGCTCTACATAGATTTCTATGGTTATTAACAAGTGAAAAGACCATCTGCAAAAGCAGATTAAAGCCATTTTTGGTCAAAATCCCCAAACTTTATTTTTACTGTAATCGCTTAACATAAACAACATACCAAGGTATTGATATGAAAAATGTATAAAAACAGAGGTGTCTGTTTTTGCTCTTCCTGTGTTACAGTCACTAGGAGCAGAAAGAAATGGTGCACTCGTGCATTCAGAGGGTCTGGTCCTGCAGGGCTGCTCAATATTACAATAACATGAGTGCAATAGTAATTTTTCATATTGCAAAACTTAATTTAATTTTATACTCAATATACTGATTATTTGTTCATAAACTGTAGTATATTTGTCAAATATGACACGTAATTATTACTTTTACACAAAACACTCCAAAAGGACTTAGGGGCCTTTTCAAAGAGGCAAAGAAATGCTCTAAAAGGTATTATACTGGGGAAGTATTAGGGATACACGTTTTCCAAAATTTGTTTAACCTGTTATTGAAGCCATTAAACCAGGGGTGTCCAATCCTGGTCCTGGAGGGCCGGTATCAGCAGGTTTTGTGGCTTTTCTACTCCCAACAGACTTGATTCAGTGGTTGAAACACCTGTGCAGCAGCTCATCAGGCTCTGCAGAAGCCTGTTAATTAGCTGCTGATTGAAATCAGGTGTGATGAAACAGAGTTCAAACTAAAACATGCAGGACACCGGCCCTCCAGGATCAGGATTGGACACCCCTGCATTAAACGGTTAACGCTCAGTTAACCCAAAAACTCCCCCTCATTCTTTTTCTGTGGTTTTGATAGTGGCACCCTCTGGTGGCACAAAATATATTACACCCATGCACAGCAGAAGGACAGGAGCTGGCGGTTAACCGAGCAAAACTATTTTACCCGGTTACAACATTAACTCATTCGCTGCCAGCCGTTTCCTGATCAGTAAAGCCCTTCGCTGCCAGCGTTTCTCACTGTTTTTACTGTATTTTTAAGAGTTACAGAACGTTGCGCGCTAGGATGATGTCGACGCCAAAACAAAGCGGAGACTCACCTCTTATATCAGGAAGAATCCGCGCGTTTCGAGCTCTATCCGTTCTTTCATAATCCGTTGTTGAATTTTGATCAGCAGAAGCTTTTCCGGTTCGCACCTCACTTTTTTTTACAGCAGCAGCCCAAAACGATCTCCTAACACGTGGGTTTTCTGCTTCCTGATCACGTGACGTGTGCGGATGAAGATCGGCTTTAGAGCTGAGATGTTTGTTCTCACAGTGCGGGGGCTCGTTCCGATGCCCACACAGTAAAAAAAATGCAAATGACGACTTTAGTCGTCATTGGCAGTGAATGAGTTAACAGTGCTTAACTGGTTAATTATGTATGAAGTATTGATAGGTTTTGCCTCATGATACTAAACTAAAAGTAAGGGTAGATCGATATATTGGTGGGTCTGTATATTGTCGGCCAATATTTGCTCCTAGTTCCTATTTAAATTCTGGCACATCCTCAAGCAGCCGGAGGCTGTAGCAAAGTTTAAATGTATTTTTACGTTCACTAATAACATCTGCATAATAAATACTCTACATAAACTTTATTAAGGTCTCTTACTGTAACAATGAACAGTGCACAAAGTTAACATTTAGCGGTTATTTAAATTCAGAGTTCAAAATGTTGTGCATCAATTGTTGTTATTAGGGACATTTTAATATGAACATAAGGTGGAAAATGTCTAGATATCAGCCCTCGGCTAGCATCGGCATTGGCAATAGAAAAAACAATGTGGTTCGATCTCTGTTTAAAAGTTGTGTATTGTTTTTTTTCTATTGAGAATGTGCACACAAGCAGTAACTGTTTCTTTTGTGTGGTGCAATTCAAAGTTGGATATATCGTATTGCCAGATTCTTGCTAATGCACACCCTTAGACAAAAATAAACCAAATATCGTTTTTTGACATTCAAACCTTCCGAGGAAAAATCCAGAAGTATTTCTAGAACTCGAAGCATCACTGTTAGCATAGACACACATGAAGACGGACTGTGAAGTTGTGTAAATAAAAAGGTGACAGATCTTGTGTGTTTGTCTTTTTAAATGTGGTTTTAAACCTTCATGTTACCTGAAGGTTCATTGATGTTTCCTACTATTGTTTCTGCTGCATTTACAGTTTTGAACCTTGTCAAACTGTCAACAGGACCCAGGTCGTAGGTAGGTGCAGCAGAGAGCGGTCGTGTCTGGATCCGTCGTAGCTGGTTGGATTGCTCCCCAGCAGGCTGGAGCGGCAGAAATCATTCAGTGAGTTGTTAGTAAACCAGCTTCAGCAGAAGGGGAGTGTCAGGGTAAAGTAGAATTACGTTCCCCGAGGCTGACATTTCATTTAAGCATTATTTTGATGCCTGTGAGATGAATTAGTGTCAGGTCTGTTGTCCTTCTTAGGAATAATCTCTCCCACTTACTCATGTTTCCCAGAAGCGAAGCTCTAAATCTTTTGTATTTGAACCCTCTGGAGGCAGGCGTTGCAGATTTGCAAAGTTAAAACCTACCTACCTGGTTACTCCACATACGTATTTCATGAGCATTTTTTAAACTCAGAAGTACCCCTGAAGGTCTTAGTTGTTCGTCCTTTTATCAAAACTTATTTTGAGCCTGAGAGGGTTAACAAGCTAACGCAACGTTTGACTTCACACATGCTGGTCTCATTTTGACCACAGATTTTTAATTTGTGTCTTTTTCTGGCTATAAATGCATATTTTAATGTCCTATTGGAGGCAAAAGTCCCTGAGATTACATGGTTTTTCCATGTTTCACAAGTAGAAAAAGAAACATATTGAATAAAACGTGTGTAAATCAAATTCATAGTTTGGATTAAAAACAGCTGTTTGAGTCAAAATTCTGACTCACTGGATAAAAAGTTCCTATGTCCATCAGATCTTCTTGAACACTTTACTCTGATGTATCAAAAGACTTGCTATGTGTTTTATTTTTTATGTGACTTCAATATTTCAGTCACTGTGCTAGAAATAAGGCACCACAGTGGTTTCCAATTCTAGTAAAGCTCTGAACTGCTGATACCGATTTTGGTTTGTTCCTGTTTATCTCAACAAAGTATAATTACAGAATAAAAACAATGATTTACATCAAACATAAAATGCTGAAAGTAAAAATTTCATGTGAATCAACACTGAGCAACGGCGAGTTCACAGCCCCCCCAAAAAAGAGTCAGGGTTAATGGCCTTGGTTTGGAGAAATGCACCACAAAACATCAGCTGGTAGTCAGAACACACAATCTCCAAGCAACTATAAAAAACAACAACATATTTTTCCCTAGTCTATGAATAGGGTTGGGCATCGTTTGATTTTGAACGATTCCGATTCCAATTCCTCGTTTCGATTCCCGATT